GAGAGGTTTTAAAATTACAAACACTTTGAATCATTCTAAAAAAGAAGCTGGTCAAATTCAAGGAAAAATCTCTCCAGCAATATTTTCGCGAACATCTGGAAGTCTGCGGAAGAAGCTTGTCCTTATCGAGCGCGAATCAACTCGCCATCCAATTTTCATGTGGAGCAGCTTGCTCGTTCTAGTCGTGTTCATATGCGCATATTAAAGTTAATCCCATCCCTGACCACGCGAAGTCGCTGGGCGAGAAATAGGAGGGCGATACACCGGGGTAAGCGATAAATTAGGGGTAGAATCAGCTGGTCTAACCCCTATTGACAGTTTCCAGCTGTAGTGAATTATCGTTCGGTCGGGTTAACGATAAGCTGGAAGTCTCCGGGCAGATTACTTCGTTGTTTTTCCCCTCTTCACCTTCCCTCTAGCTAGTGAATCGATCTGTCTTTCATGCGCTGAAACAGCACCCGACCGACTTCCGCTCACGCGATCCTCGCCAACTTAAGGCCTGAGAAATGATTTTCACCGGGCTTTGGTTATTAATTTCCTCGTGATGTTTGAGAAAGAAATTTATGCACACGCTGATCGCTTACTGATGGAAGATCTCGGTCTCTACCGTGCGTACTTATTATCATAATAGACAGCACGGATAAAAAATGACATGGAAAATATAAGAAATCGTTAGTTTCTATCTTTCGATCTATTCTCTTATCCAAGAAGTCGTTAGAAAATCTAAGGTTGCTGCTTCATGGAAAAAACCTTATGAAAAACGTTGAAAGGATCTACCAAGTATTGGATACTCGAAAGGGATGTTGTATTAGATTTGTTTTAATTCAGATAAGCAGAACGGTTCAAATCATGGAAACTATCGACGTACTTTTTTTTGTTCATGCCCGTGTTTGACGTGCTCCATGGCAGCCATATTTAATTATTTTTCAACAAAAAAATTTTTATTCATTCTTCAAGGGCAAGTAAAGACATAGGAATGAAGCTTATGTTAATAACTGTTACTGAACTTCTATAATAAATTAGCAAAGAAGGCCTAAGAAAAGGCTGTCACGCTACATAGGATACCCCCTTAAGGGGTACACCACCCTGAGGCGTCTAAGAATAGGTAAAAGTTTGGGAATTTTTTTTATAGGTAACTAGTAAATGAAAAATTTCAATTTTTGCAGAGGATATAAATGTAACTATCAGCTTTTCTCTTCAATTTTTTAAAAGTAAAAATGTTACAAAATGGTAGAGTTATTGATTACTGGCCACCATGGTTGGCAAAGATTGGAATGTCTGAAATAGAAAATTCTTTTCGATTTATTATACAATTTAGCTTACGATTTTTTCGATATCTCGATTATTTCATTTTTCAGAAACGTTTAAATTGATTTTTTTTTTTGGTGAAAGAAGTTTTTCCTCTTGAAACAGACAACCATTTCTATAAAAATCTCACTTATTGAAAAATCTTAGGCTACATTACAGATAACACATTTTTATTTAATAATTCGAAAAGAATTTTTCATTTCAGACGTTCCAATCCTTGAAGTTCTAGCAGAAGAGGTTCCGCAATTACCCAAAAACTCCTCCATTGTGTAACGTATTTACTTTTCCAAAAATGGCAGAAAGAAACCAAAAGTTACATTTATATCTTCCAAAAAAATCGAAACTTTTCACCTGTGAAAAAAATTCCCAAACTTTACCTATTTGTTACATTTATTAAACTATTCTTTATTCTTTATGAGACGACATACAATACACGACATGAGACTTTAGACTGACGCGTCTAGGCGAACCACGCGGCCACAGGCTCTAAAACAAAAGACCGCGACTATTTTGCCGCTGCTTGCCCTCAGATATCACTGCTTGCTCGACTCTCAACACTATTCCTAGACGCCTCAGGACGGTATACCCCTCAAAGAATGCGGGCAAGTCCTGCGGAAAGCGAAGACAGTCTTCACGAACCAA